GAAAGGATTTAATTGGAAGAAATCATACTTTTTAGAAGTAAATTGAAGAGATCAGAGACTTGAGGATCAACTTGTGCAGAATCCAGAAGTCATGAACCAATTCTGTTATTTTACCATTGAAGAAATTGCAAAAGGAGGCCAGAAACCCGACACGGGTGTAGTGTCGACACATGATCGGGGTGTCGACACCATGCGTTAAAAGTTCAGAATCAGATTCTATTTCCTATTTTGTGTCAACACGTAATCCGAAGTGTCAGCACTACGCAATCAGCATCCAAAATTCAGTTTCCTATTTCTGTTCCAAGTCCTACTTCTATTTCAATTAGGGTTCCTAAAATCCTATAAATACCCATCCAAATTCAGAATTAAGGGAGTTTGGAGGAGGCTTGTGGCAGCCCTCCTGGGCATACTTGGAGGTCAAGATAGAAGATCCATCAATGAGAAGATCAAGGATTTCAATTACTTCAAATTAGGTTTTATTTTTCCTTAGACATTCTTATGCTCATAATTGTGATTTTAGATTTTATTATTTTTATCATGAACTGATTTAATCTACTAGGGCTACGATGTAGCCTAATCAATTCAATATAGATTTTGTGATTTTATGTTTTTAATTAAAGTTATTTACATGAGGAGTTTATATTATTGAACTTAATGCATTAAAAGCCTGATCACCTTTCGATTGATTTAGTGATTTATGCATGAACTTGAGAAAGAATTGTGTAGATTAGACCAATAATAATATAAACCGTGTGCTAGACTATGAAACCGAGAGGTAATTAGCTCACATGTGGTAGTGGAGGAAGAGAAGAGAGTTAGTAGCTCCCCCTTTTTAAGCTAGAGGTTTTCATAGAATCTAATACTCATTAGTTTGTTTAAAATTACATAGAGATATGATTAATTTAACAAACCAGTGAAGGATTAACTTGACTTGAGAAAGCTAGTTAATTAATTTAGGGAAATCCGCCATCACATGCAATAACACTCAACAATTTAGTAATCCAGAATTTATATTGATTGATTATGGTAAAGT